TATTTTATTTTATTTTATTTTATTTTATTTTATTTTATTTTATTTTAATTTTTCCCAACTCGAATCACAGAAAGCAAGATTACGGCACAATAAGATTCTCTGTAAGCTTCTCAAATGCTCTCAGCCTTTCTCACAATAAAGAATTAAAACCATAAACCCTCCACTTACAATTTTCAAACTAGGCATAGAGAAAAGTTAGATAAGATATTGTATTCATATTGGATGCTGCGGTTTGAATGTGAACAGGTCACCACAAGTTCACTTGAGAAAAGTTGGTCCACAGATGGTGGCTTGAGAAATGGTACACTTAGTAGGAAGTAAGGCCTAGCTAGAAGGAGGAGGGCCAGAGTAGAGGTGGGAAGACCTATGAATTATATCTTGGGCAGGTGCCAGAGGGATCCTCTGCCCCCTGATTCAAGAAGAGAGATTCGAGCAAGCTGACTCCCACTCCCACTGCCTTGGATAGAGCCAACTCTTGTCATGTCCCACTGGCCATGATAGACTAGAGATGATAGATGACATGGCAGACCCAAAATAAATCCTCTCATACATATGAGTGTGTGTGGGTCTGTCTTTGTGTGTGTGTGGTATATGTATGTGTGTGAATGTTTTTATTCATGCTCATAGGAACTCTCTGGACCCTCCAGGTTGCTCTCAGTTCTCTTTTGGAGAAGGAGGAACTGACCTTCAAAGTAAGAAAGAAGAAAGTCTTTGTTACATTTATACATACATATTTACATATGTATGTATGTATGTATGCATATATGTATCTATGTATATATAAATATAATATATAAACATGATTATATATTAGTTATATATATGAAATGTGTAACATAATGTAAGTTTCTAAATATGATAAAGGAAAAATGATGAATAGAATGAGAATAGAAACACAAATCCTCATGCACACAAACAATTAATGAAAAGAAAGACCTTAAATTTCAAGGGGGGCATGGAGGAGCAGAAGGGAGGAGAGGGATGGAAAAATATTGTATTTGTATTATAATCTCAGAAAGAGCAATTCTGAGTACTATCTCTTATTATATTTGATTTGAGTACCTTAATGGTTTACTTTTAGAACTGACCCAAGTTTAAAAAACAACCAAGTCTGATTTACTAATGTAAACTGTAAGCACATCATAAGAATGTCACTAAATTACTAACTTCACTTATTAGCAGGAGACTATGGGACTCTGGCACTAGCCTGGTGTAGGCTAACTCATACTAAGGGCCTTCAGAGATCCCTTTGACAATCTTGTTGTCTTTCATAAATTAAGTGCGTAGCAATAAAAATCTGATTGTCAAGCCTTAGTTGCTGCAGAAGAGATGTCACATTCATGAGAGAATTTACTGTCTATAAAACTTTCCCATTCAGGGCTGGTATGGCAGAGGCAGAAGGTATTGCTTTCTGAACATCAAATCACTGTAATTGTAAATTCCTATCGTGATGCTCTCTGACTTCGTTTTCTTGGTTTGCCTTACCATCTTAGTTTTCTGCTTCTCTTTGTTTTCTCTGTACATGAAAGAAAAGTGGCCAGGGAAAATGGTAATGTGGGCTGTTATACCTACAACTCCTTCAAGTTGAGAGAAGAAGGAAGAGTATCTCTTTTCTTTTCCACTCCCAAGTGCATTGTGCAGTCTAAATTGCAAAGCTTGGCTGATTGATTGTCTTTCTTTCTTCTATCTGAAACCCCTGTAGGTTTTCCTGTCTTTCCCCAGTCACTGATGTATTAGGAGTCCATCACTGCTGGTGAATGGATACAGTAGGGTTTTGACTGTTTTTCTGATAACAGCTACAGCAGATTAAAATGGGCATACTCTTCGGTATTTACCATTCTAATATAAGAGCTTGGGGTTCACAAAATATAGTCATTGACTTTGATGTCTACTATAGATTAAGTAACATTTAATAGAATACTTCAAAATGATTAAAGAAATTAGTGCTTTAGATTAAAAACAAGATGTGACTAAAAGCAGGTTTAGAAATCAGCAAAAAAATGCATCAAAACATTGGAATGTAAGAATAAATCAAAAATTAAGAATATAACACTATGATTCACTTTTTAAAAATTTCTGTCAACGTATCATCACTGGGGTGCAAGAACATGTTGATTTTTTTAGGTGAAATTTGTTTTTTTAAATGACAGAAAATTTGACTTCTTGCTACTGGGGAAATGTTAAGGCAACAGTTAAAAGTGAATTTCACATTGTTTTTTTTTTTTTTTCTTTAATTTAAGTAAAACCAGCTCTCATTTGTACTTGTGAAGGGACCACTTAGAGGAACTGTTAAGCTTTTTGACAAGGACTATAATCTTTTCATTGATAATGAGCTGTAGTTTTTATTTCAAGCAAAGCCTTGCTCGTTCTTTGTCTTTTTAAGTTTGATCACGTAAAAAAAAGTGGAGACTTGTAGAGTTACCTGTTATTAGCTAAATAATCTTATGCTCAAATTAACTTGTTTGTGAACCTCTTTGAGCTGGAAAGGAAAAATACTTTTTAAAATAGAAATTGTTTTTCAATTGTCTTCTTTCTAGAGAATTATACAGGCACTGCAGAATCCTTTCAAGATGAATGCCTTGTTTAAAACTGGATATTTTAATTAGCATTTAACTAGGACGGAGATTAGTTCAGCAATAATTTTCACTATAAAAGCACATGGCTGTACGTATGTACAAGACAATGGCAAACTGCTACACAAATTTTACTTATGGTGGCTCCAGCCTAACATTTTTCAAATAGATCTTCTAGTAAAGATTCAGTGTGTGTATCACTGTATTCTAATTAAAGGAGCCAGATTTTTTAAGACTATTTCATCACAGCAAAATATTTTAGAAATAGCACCACCATATAATAGAAATTGTTCTTTTTCTGAAATTAACTCAAAGCATTTTCTACCTTTCCACAGAGGTATGTCTTAGAGTAAAAGCTAGACTGGGTTACTTTCCTTTTCAAACTCTTAAATGTTTTCTGGATACTCTTAAAACAAAAGTTTTTTTTAGACCATCTTTTACTTCGTGTTCAAAGCTCTCCATGAGCTTCTCTAGGTCATTCTGAAAACTCTTTCATCTTCCTACTCATTGTTTAAACCACACAGGATTCATAGTACCACATCTGCAGTTTCCTTCTTTGTCACGGGGCCTCTGTCCATGGGACAGAGCTCCCCTACTCCGTTTCTTTGTCACTAACTCCCTCCCTCGGCTTTAACTCACAAGTTATATGACTTATGACTCCATGAAAGAGTGTTTCCAGCCCTAAGCCTGGTTTATATGCTAGCATGTGTTTCATTAAAAATATATCTTCTGAATTCAGCCTTACCAAGGGTAACAACACTAAGTTAAGACGATGAATATCAGGGATAGATCAAGTAAGGAAGCAGATGACAGAGGTTCAGGAAAAATGGTCAAGACTATACCACTGGAGTAACATGACAAGGCTAAACGTCTCTAGATAAATAGGCTAGAAAATGTACCCAATTAGTTAATCTATGCTTATCACTAAAGAAAACCACTAGACAACACAAAGAGTAAAGAACCTTGGAATACGAACATCTTTCTTTGAAAATGACTCTATCTCGAGACAGTCATGGTGAAGTGGTTACTAACCAAAAAAAAAAAAAAAAAAAAAAAAAAAAAAAATCAGCTCAATACAGACACCCTAATTCTAAGAATCAAGATCGAATTTCTCTCCTTGGAACTGTGTCACTGAGAAACGCCTAAAAATGGAGATTGCCCAATTCTGTTGGAATTTAAACAGAATGACTGTCGATTTTAAACACCATCTATCCTCGCCTCCCAGCTCCTCTCTGCTAACTGCTATGCCGGGATCCCATGGGCCCTGTTTGATGCCAGCTTTTGGCAGAGTTAAGTACTAGTGAAATACATGAAGTCTCTTGAGTTTGTGGAAAAAAAAATTTTGTCTTATTGATAGATACTGACAAAAGAAATATCTGAATCCTTGGAAAAGCTGTTGCTTGTTGGGTTCCAGCTTGCATCACATGCTATGAGAGATTCTTGATCTTCCATGAGGAGGGAATGTTGTGACAAGGTCTCAGTGGATGCTGCTGTGCCATCTCAGCTGCCGATAGCAAGCTTAATCAAACTGTGGGCTAAGCGTCTGTGTGCTGTGGATCTTGGAAAGGAAACTGTGTGGGAAAAAACTACGTTGGAACGACTACTTATATTTAGCATTTTATCCTAGTTGAATATTTTGCTTAGTTATCTTTATTACTTTGTCCATATTGAGTGTGTCTTCACAGCCTTATTCCTTACCTCTTCCCATCACCCCCTCCAAAAAAAAAAAAAGGTCCTTCAATTCTCCTGAGTAATATCTATAACAAGGCTTCGTAGTCAAATAATAAAAATTTTATTTGTGATAAAAACTTTTTTATTATTTGACTTATTTCCTTTAATTTTTTCCTATATTAAATAACTATTACTTAGGACATTAATGCCAGTCTTGTAGACTATACAGAAAAAGTCTGAAAACAATGGCAATCTTTATAATGATTAATGTTTTATAACACACTTATATATTTGTAATTTCACTTAATTATGATCAAAATTATAGTGATTGGTACAATAAATTATCGACTTTAAAATGAAGAAACATGACATCAAACAGTAAGCAAATCACTATCTTATAACCAGGAAGCTAACTATTCTCCTCTTGTTGCATATCTCAGGTTTATAATACTTTGCTATGAAAACTGACCT